TGAGATTAAGGGGCAAGATCTTAGATTAGTGGCTTTCAGAGAAACCCTCCCAGAGCTAGGTCACCTCTGATCTTTCCTATCCAATGATTCTTGGACCATACCCTGAAAAGCACAACTTCAAAAAAGCTTCAAAGATGGACAATAACTTCCTCTGGACTTCCGAAGTAGTTTAGTGGCCTGGTGGTTGAGTCTTCTCATACAAAACAATCTAAACCCCTGTCAGTCTTTTCTGAGTCCCACAAAGTGACAGTGGCAAGGGACATCTGCGTTGCTGCTCTCCTTCAGTCACATTAAAAAGGAAGACTGTAGCTGCCTGGGAGGCTGGGAACGCCCTTGGGATAACTGACCATTGTTAAGAATACCTAATTACTAACTCCCAAATGGCTTTATAAACTAGGCACTGAGCTGCCCTTTTTTGTCAAGACTCAGGCAGAAACACATTTCTGAAGTGCTGAGTAAATGTTTTCGGGACTAGACATTCGTATTTGGAGGTTTGAATTCTGCTTAAATCACACATTACACAGTAAGACAATACAATGGGGCTTCCATTTATCTATATAAATGAACTGACACATACATACTCACATAAGCCAAAAATAAATAGCACAGAAGGCTTTTGCTTTCTTCTAACAAAAGTTATACTATACATATTTATTTCTAACTTGCCCCTCTGAAAGGCAAAGATGTGAATTCTTGCCTTGAAATCCCATCCAAACGAATACACAAAAATTTGTGAAAACAATTTGGGCTTGATGTATTTTCTCATTCATGCGTCATTTTTCTGCCCATCTACAACTAAGTCTCATTGCTAGGGAAATAAAAATATTTTCCTGACTACTCAGTTAATGTATACTTAATTGCTTGCCGTGTTGTATTGTTAACAGTGATGGGTAGTAGGTCATGTTATTCCAAGGTCAGAGGAAAACCACAAGTCTGTTAATGCTCTGGGTTATAACTCAGAACAACAGTAAATTTAGAAGCACAGCTGAGCATTTTAAACAATCAAGAGCATTATAAGGCATGCAAAAGTGATGAAACGGTGTCAGCCAGGCCACACACTAAATGGAAAGCCATATTTCTTGATGAAGGCATAAGTAGGTCTGTATTAATTTTGATGGAATAAGCAGTCCCCAAAAGTCAAAAGGTGTCAAGATGTCTGTCACCACACAACATTAGGCAGTTAAGTAAGCCTTGGGGCTTAGAATACAGAAACCTCAACTACTTAGTGCCACAGCAATATTGTTACGTCTCTTAGACCTTCGTTAACAACACAGAAAAAGGAGCAGGGGGGAAAAGGGAAAAAAAAAATCATTAAAACACCAAAAATTTAAGGCGTGCAGCACCACAGAGTTTTCAAATACAAAAATTTGTCCAACAGACTTCATAGATGATGATGTTTTCTCTAGAGGACATCGGGGATAAAAAGGAGAGCTGATACCATACAGTATACTGTGTCCTAGTCCAATATCCCATGGGATTTAGAGCAGAGTGCAGCAGGCACAGCCCACAGTGCTGGTCTGGCTTGGTTACAGCTGCAGGGGGAAGAGTTTCAGTCCCTAGAAGATCAGGAATCCAGTAACTGGTGGGTTTAGAAAGGTAATGGTTCGTACCACCACGATTACAGGAAAGGCACCCAGAGGAAACATTGGTCTCCAAAAGACTGGAGCTGGGGCTGCTGTACCCCAAGCAGAAGTGAGATCCCGTGTGGAAAATGTCCTGCTGCCCCATGTGCTGACCTCCAAACTCGCGGAGATACCAGAACTGGGAAGTAAAAATCCATTTTGGCTTGTCTCCCAGGGCCAACGACGACCCTGTCAGGGCCGGAGATGGCAATCAGTGTGTGAACCGGACCAGTGTTAAAGGTAGGAAAGATGATTAATCTTTCTGGCCCCTTCTTTCCGTTTGCTTCAGCTGAGCCAATCCCAGAGACTGATGACTCCTTACCGAAATAACAGGCTTCAGCCACCTAACGAGCCTTACTTACCTCTATGGAGAAAATTACTCTCAGTTTTGTGAGAACAATGTTGAACAAGCAGCATGTGAACTAGTTTAGGGAGTAGCAGTTTTGTAACTGTAGAATTACACCCTCCTCCAAAGAGACACCACTTATTTCTGATATAAACCAGTTAAAAAGCAAAGGTCCTCCATGAAATTTCACTGACTTGTTGAAATAAGCATCCATGTCCTTGGAACAGTTTGCCATGCTACCAGCTAGCAACTTTAAATCAGCCCCTGACCCAGGAGGAGCCTGTCAAACAGCAGGGAGTAAGTCCAAAAGAGCTGTAAATCAAGGAAATTGTGCAAAGGAACCAGGAAGCCTGGTGAACTAGTCAAAACTACAGTTCCCTGGCATGTGAAAGGCATGGAGATTTAAGGGGCTGAGCTGACCCGTTTCATCTATTTGTTTGTAAAATAAAAGCTGAGAAGCTTATGCAGCCTCATTGGTGATCCTGGCAAGCCCAGCCAAGTCCTGACCCTTTCATTTCACGTACTGTTACCAGAAGCTTAGGGTGCAGGAGCAGTGAAGTCAGCTTGTCAAGTAAGCTATATTGCCGGAAAATTTTAAGAAGAAAGGTGCCCCACCACTGGTAGAAAGTATCCTAACAAAAGAAAACAGCTACAGCCAGGTAAAAGATAGTGATGGAGACCTCAAACCAAGCAGCAGTAAAGAGAACACACACAAGCAAGAAAGTGTGACATTTCATTGTGAGAACAACTAACACACATACACCTGCAGATACAAAACTGCAGAGAAAAAAAATATGGTATTGAGGGAGGAAATCCAGATAATGAGATAGCAGGGAGTGGATTTTTGTAAGAGTATGTTGTTGTTGCTATAACAACAACAACATTACAACACCATCCATCACGAGCAGTCAGTACCGTATTCGAGCGACCTGTTGCTGTTTTGCTCATCTTTCTGTTTGTCAAGTGACTGCTGTACTAGTAAGAACTCTTACGCTTATTGCAAAAAGATGAGATTTATGCTAGCATTGCAAAATCACAAATGCCTTTCAGTGATGTTACAACAGTTCTTTGGACTTTAATTATTTGATTTTCTTGTGGGATAATCTTGATATTTTCTCTAAAATAAAAAAAAAAATCCTTGACGTTTGCATAACATCACAATTACTTCTGAGAATGTTACTGGTTTTATCTGTACTACCACACCTCTAGCAACCTCTTGCTCTGTCTTCACTAGGCTAGGCGATGCGTGAAGAATAAAAGGACCAATAACATGGCTGCTACTTGCTCCAGCCTGGCTACTGAACTGTTCACAGACTTAAGTATCAACAACTTCTGCTACAACAGGTAGTCAACCCTGTTTCAGCATAGTTCAGAGAAAATACTAACAAAGCCCTCTACAGTTTATTTTTGGTGGGTTTTACACAGTTGAGCTTCAAAAGCCGTATCTCACCTTATGTACAACTACTTTATCTTAAGCAGCATGCCATGATTAACTGAATTTTTATTTCAAAAGCAACTACTACATTCCACATGTTAAAATGGATCAGATGTCCAGTTAAGTTCCAGGACAAAGAGAATGAATCTCTAAATGAAAGGAAGAGAAATGTCTTGGCAGTAGCATTTCTATGCCCCAGATAGTATCTCAGCAGCATAGCATAGTCTGAAACAGATTGTAAGTCTTTTATTTAAATATTCATATTTCACAGGTGGAAGTTAGAAATGAAAACAACTGAACTCATAGCTATCAAGAATGGCGAGTAGTTCATAAGTAACAAAATTACAAATACTAAGATGAATTACTGAAGCTAACTTTAACCAGATTTTTAATGGAAAAGATGTAGGCTCTTTTATAGTTACTCCATATTGCCACAGAATTGTATAAAGGCTCTCAAAGTTTGTCAATACTTTGGGAAAAAAAAATTCTCAGTAAATACTGACCAGGAAGGCAAACCTTATAAAGCTGAAGAAACTAAAATAGGGAAAAGAGCATGCACAGAAATAATACATAAGATTTTCTTCTCTTGTGGTTGAAGACGTGGTGAGCAAGGGTCCAAACCACAGAGCTTTGATGACTGCTCCTTACAAACTGTCAAAGATTTCTCTGTTTCAATCTCAAAGCTGAACACTGCCTCCTAGAATAGCCCAGAATAATGTGGATATATTATTTTAGATCTGCCCTTACACGCTGTAATTTTAAGGTCAGCTACATAGAGACTTCTCTATGGCACAAGCCCACAGCAGAACTGCTGCACTCCGATGTACCTTGCAGAATCCAGCTGCAGTAAATCCCCCGTTAGGATTGCTGTCAGCTTTTAGAAAAACTAATTCCATTGCTTCTGCTTGGCAAACAAATACACGTCCCTAAATAGCCCTCCATTTTTGAATATGGAAACTGAAAATCACAATTTTGTTATACTAAACACAAACGCGAGCAGCAGTTTGTCAGTTTGATTGCGGGGTCATTGCATGCCTGATCAATGCAAACATAGAAGACTTAGAAATACCTCCCAATAAAAAAGTTTTATTTTTTAAGAGAAGTGGCACAGGCACTTTTCCAGACTTTTCCTGAGAGCTTAAAAAAACTGAAGCTGGACAGTGCTTTCATCTGTCACTTCCGAAAAAAGTTCAATGCATTTGACTAGATAAAGTACAAATCTGTAATATAGATGCCCACATAAACCGATCTTTAGGAGAAGGTAAGAAGGAAGACTGGCTATTTAATAGCACGGAGAAGAAACTGTAAGAAGATGCACATATCTGAGTAATGTAAAACCTTGACTGCATTGGCTCTTGTTGAAGAACAACAAAAAGGCAGAAGCAGCAGCAAAGTCACTTTGTTTCAAGATCAAAGGACATCACCCCAGCAATACACAGGCTTTATCTACACAAACCTTTCTGAGGTAAAGGAAAATGGTTGCAGACTACAGCTATATTTGATCAAGACCCATATAAAAAGCTACAATCAGACTACCTGAAGTGCCTGACTACACATTGTAACAGCCCATTTTCTTAAACTTTTACAGGAAACTCACCCCATCTGGTCTGCCATCCGAGGCTGTAACAATCAGAATATAGCGATCAGTGCTTTCTCTGTCCAAGGGCTTTCCTAAGGCTAGCAGTCCAGAACTAGTAACAGAACAAAAACATAAAATGTTATTACAACAGGTTTAATATATCTACAAGCACTTTTGTTCCACTACCTTGCCTTACACAAATGCTTCCATTTAAGCAAGTTAATAAGCTTCTAGGCTTTATTACAACTGAACGCAAGTTTTCTATAGGTAAAGGCGAATAAAAACGGTGAGCCAATTTCTAATGCTTTCTGCTTCGATACGTGCATAATTTAGGATTAAAATAACAACCTAGTGATCTACAGATTTATACAAAAGACAGACCTACACTGAACACAGGACCCTCATTTGTTAGAAAGCTGCACTGCTACAATAAATGAGAAGAGAAAATGGCAAGCAGTCTGTTAATCACAGAGGAGTCCCGATATCCCTGACAGGATTGCAGCAGTAAACTCTGGGAATACAACACGCGTGGTCTTAAGTATGAGCCTCCTCAGACTTTTACAGGGAAAAGTCTCTGACTTGCATGATGTCTAATTGCAGTAAAAGTGCTGCAACAAACTAATGCCCTTTCAGTGCAAGCACAGATCCATCATATTCCCTAATAATAAAATATTAACATAGGTGCAAATGTTGTGGAAAACGAATTGGGATATTGTGATTATTGATGCCCGTTTAAAAAAGACAGCGAACGAAAGGCTATTTGGAAGCCACATATACAAAATTTAAAATTTTACAAAAACGTTATTTGAAAACATTCCAAATTCCTGTAACTGCTGACAAATAAAACCTAGAATTTTGTCTCTAGGATGATCTCATTTCCTCATGCAGAAGTCTACAAGCCACCTGGAGGTATGCTGCGGCAACACAGAGACAAGATCCCACTGTGAACTCATTACTTTTATATTAGGAAGCATCAGAAAAGTACCATTGATGACCCTGTCTAAGCAAGCTAAACTCCGCTTAACTGAACTGGCAACAGTGGTGTTTTTGTGACCAGCCCTAACACTCTGCATCTCATTTACAGGTTTTTGATCTCTACTGGGACATAGTCAATTATGTAACAAATTGAGATCTCAAATGCCACCCAATTCACAGGCTATTATGCACCCGTAAACGTGGATCCAGGATGATATTTATCCTCTTGTTGCATGGCTAAGCAGCTTCTTCCATGAAACTCCGCCAAAAGCATCACGGTTGGCTTCCAACATTTTAAGAAAAGTGTAACAGTGCATGATTTTGCAGTGCAAAATCCACATGGGCTGGGATCTAGGTATGCTGTGACTTTCCATATGTTACTTCATTTTTAATGGGCATATCAGACACAAGCATTAGGCAGGCACAAGTATAAACTTTACTGGTTGAGCTTACATTTCATGTTCATAACCTACGAACCTAAACAGCTGCTTGCTCAGAAAGAGGTCTTATTAAAACAAACAAAAAAAGCCAAACCCAAACCAAACGAAACCAAAGAGTCCCACCAAACTGTAAGATCTCATTATCTGCACATCTTCAGAACACTTGGATGTATATAATCTGTACCTAAAGATGTTTTATTCCCTTTGAGATTATAAATTTCTGCAGAGTTTCTGCTGTAACTCCTTACTCTCAGAGAAGACCTCAACAAACTGATTCCAGGCCAGAACTTTTTCCATTGTTTTCAGCAGAGACAAATACCAATACTTACTGGCAAGCTGTTACTGCAAGCAGTTTCTTCAAACAAATAATACAGACATGGGTGGAAACAGGGAGTGGGAGCATAACTCTCCCCTAGGATTGAAAGGTTGGTAGGTAAAATAATATCCAAGCTCAGTAATCAAAGAAAAAAATATTTCAGGAAATGCTACATGCAATCTGCCTCACTGCTACGTAACGAAAACGTGTCATGTTTTGGCAGGTGTCATGTTTTGCTTCCTCAAAACAGGAAACGCTAGCAACTTTGTTGTACCTAATACTAAATACTTCTCGGAGGTTGGTAAAAACCAAGGGGACACATGAACATTGTGCATAGCTTTGTAACCCAGTAAATATAGAGCTTATGCGTCTTGTCACAAGCGTCGTGCTTCCTTTTCTACAATTGTGTAGTGCAATGCCTATTCACATATATTTTTTTTGTAACTAATAGGTATCTGTAACATGGTTATTGTGCGGAGACTGAACTAACTATGGAGCAGTGCAGGCACGGCCTCTAGTGCAGTGAACGTTCAGGCACAGGATGACACCAGAGCCCCTGGGCTACAAACACCTCATCAGTGGCCTACTACTGATCAAAGAAACACAACCTTAGGAGCTGCCCCAAACCAGCCTAGAGTCACAAAGAGAACAACAAACAAGTGTCCATATATATAAAAGACACCACATGCAGTAAAAGTTCAGATGTCACACAGATGGGGAAAAAAAATAAGGTGTGGTACAGAGCGTGTTAACATACACAAAAAATATTTAAAATGGATCCTAGAGTGAGAAGAATGAAAACATCAGCATCACCCTCCTCCTCCCAGGGCAGGACTTCAGGTGCTGAAGACAGCATAGATCCCTGCTCCAGTGGAAATGATTGCCCTGAGGGCCCAAAGGGAAAGTCGAAGGGTAAAATGTAACACCACAGCAAAGGACAGGCTTTATAAACTTTACAGATATATTTATATACATTTTTATATAAAGCCATATATAATTTATATAATATAAATCTATGTAGCTATATACAGCTATAATGACATATAGCTATACACAAATATATATAGCTATGTATCATTAAAATATGTGTATATACACATATATATGATTATACGTATATAAACGTTAAAATTACTTATATACATAAAATGTATTACATGTTCATGCTTTATATTAACATATATGCACATACCAAAACATATGTGTATTTGCAATTTTAGCTATTTGCATTAGTGTCAATGACAACTGGACTACTAATAGCTGTTTAATCAGGCTATTAAGACTTGAATTAGACTATCAGTAAATTCTTAGCTTTGCATATATACACGGCCCACAAGAAGGTAATGAGTGTAAAAGTGGTGAGCTTTCCAGCGATCTGTCCTGTAATTTGTCTGTGACAAATTTATAACTCTGTTATCTCATGGACTGTCTTCTGTTACGGAATATTCAGATGAGCTCAACTAATATTATTGTTGTATTACTGAAGAACATTTAATTTTTAAACTAAACTTTTTAGACTTTATCAATAGCAGACATTGATGCAGTAGTGATGCTACTGAGAAAGGCGTTAACTTTCTTTGAAGGCTGTAGGAAAGTCAGATGTATTATTAATTGACAAAAAATGCTAAACCATGCTCTGTATTTTACCAGTTCTCTTATTTCCATGTTTTTCTGCAAATCAATTAGCTATCATAATAGGTCATATATATTTTTCAGCATTTGTTCATGACACTGCAATGAAGTATGAACAGAGGACTTTTTTAGGAAAGGAACAGCGAATAAAACATAAAACACTTACGTGCTAAAGTATTAATTAATTAATAAAGTATTAATTAAAAAAAAATCAAAGTGGAGCCAAGAATAAAATATTGACAAATACTGTTTTACTGAACTTTAGCTGCACGTATCCATTTACATTTCTCCAATATTGTTGCACTAGCATATTGATTTTTTCATCTCTTCCTTCCTACCACTTGAATAATTGCAATCTATGGTCTCCATTTCAACAGAAGAACATCATACAAGAGACAGGCTAATCTATAAAAGCCTCCTGTGTTTCACTCATGGATTCAGATGTACTCACAATTCATTTAATACTAAGCACCACTTTCCCTGGAGAACATAAGGAGCTACCACATTACTACAGAATGTGCTCAGATTGTATCGTCAAAGAAGAAAGAACAAAACCATCTGACAATCCTCAGGTAGGGGTAAAACTGGCAATATTCAGTACTTGTGCTGCCAGTTAGGGAATTACACAGGGATTAACTGACATGCTCCAGGATGCATGACTATAACCCAGATGAGAAAAAGGAAGAGAGAATCATGGTCACGGTTCTCTGCCTTGGCCCTAAAATATCTAAAAATGTACTTATGTAATATTAAGATTAATTCCTGTAGCCTTAATATGTCACTTACATTAACTATATGCTTTGTTTAATATTAATCCTACTTTAATCTCCTATCAACACATTTCAGGAAAAACGTGCAAAGGGCTGAAGAAACCTTTTCACAAACAATTTCAAAGAAACCAGAGGCAAGGAGAGCTGGAAGGAGAAAACACTTCAAAAAGCTCTCCTTTTTACTAAGAGGCAACAGATCAAAAAGGCAAACGCACACCTGAGTGTGTGCTGAAACCCTCAATACGATGTGATGCTCAGACACACGGGGGGGGATGTGAGGCTGCGGGGCATGTGTTGGGGGGTGTCAGGCTGCCCACGATGGGCCTTGGAGCCTGGGTGGGATGGGAGAGAACTGCCAGCCCTCGGGCCCTGGAAGGTGACACCTGCAACTGCTGCAACACTGTCCATGGACACATAGGGGTGTGCTGTGCCTGCAGCCTTCACAGAGCACACCAGAGATTCCTTATTTGTTTTCAGACTGAATTCGCAGCTGTGAATTCACATGCCACCTTTAATAGCTTGACTTCTGGGTATCGCCACACTGTTTACATCCAAAGCGGGACAACAGAGGAGCTGCCTGGGATCTGACATCTAGCATACCCTCACACCACGGGTCTGGCAGGCCAGAAGTGGGGCTGAATATTCACACATTTTTTAAGTCTCTCTGGTATGGAGAACTACCAGGATTTTTACTGTGCAATGTGAACAGTGCTGTGATAAGCATGAACTATACAAAACAACTACCCACTGAGTAACCCTCCTCAGAACATCTCTTATGTAGCCAGGCACGCTCCTTGTTAATCAAGTTCTAAAGGTCACAGAGCGGGTCAGATTAAGTTTCTCCACGTTAAGGGGAGGATTGCGAGCATCACTTGTGCGGAAAACCCTACAAATCTGCCCTGTGCTGGAGCTATGACTCCTAGACCTCCATCTGAGTTGATGAACAAAGCGTACCTTCCCTGATTTGCACTGAAAACTCCAGCCCTAAGCAATGAATAAAAGCAAGCAGCACAACATCATTTCCTGCTCTTGCCACCTCAATGAAACAGTCTCCTCCCTCTAAGCTGTCCCTTTCCTTGCTTAACAAGTCTTTATTATTCAAGGGCCCATCAGTCTTGGTGGATAACAGCATCAGCATCTCTTGGGATCTTCAAGCCTTTTCCCACATTGTTTCATAAGTGATTTTATTCTCCGTATATAGAAGAACTATCACAGCGAGTAACCTAGAGCTTACTCACAATGTATAGACCTGTTTCAGGGTAGTCTCTCCCTCACATCAAATTAGAACAATTTTTTGCAGTTACACCTGAACAAATAAGCCCCAGGTTATTTTTGTCCCATCATCTACCATGGGAAGTTAGCTTACTACCCCCCATTCTTCCTGCAAAGAAAAAAGATACTTTGGAGTGTAAATAATAGCTGCTTGGGTAAAATAAAGGCGGCAGTGGTGGGACAGGCACAGACCTATCTGATGCTTACAGTTTTGTAATGTACCCTCTCTTTCTAACTTTGTTTAAGTTGGTATTCAATTGAAGGAAAAGAGATTTTAAAGCAATGCTCAAAAGACTTTCCACTACAGACTAAAATGCTTGAAGGCAGGAAACTAAAACAAAAATGGTCTCTGTCATTAGTTAAGAGCTGACAAGCATACAGTTTTTAATTAATCCCTGGTCACTTTTTTAAATAGAGTGTTTCCACCTCAGTGAGTTTTACCTAAAGTGTTTAAAATAAATAAATAGTCCCCTGTAAAAACTCCAGAGTGCAGTATCATTCATAGAGCTCTCGTTAACGTCTAAGAGCCAATATGAGGAACAGCTGAATATGTCTGATTACAAATCTTTTCTTTTGCCCACATATTCACTTGACTGAAAAGTTTCAAGTCTATTTTCTAAGGGTTTTACACTTACCTTTGAGAGAGATTAAAAACTTGTTGTGGATCTCCATTCTGAATGAGGTATCTTACAGGGTCACCCTCTCTATCAAAAGCCTTTAGAGAAAAAGAGGATAAAATTAAGTCAGTTACAAATCTTTCTTTTCTTTCCTTCAATTTATAAACTGGAAAAAATCAACCCTTGAAGTTCTATTAAAGTTATCTACAGGAATGACACCAATCTCTCTATTTCTAAGGCAACAGTGGTAATTACAGATGAGCTACTTAAGATAAAGCGGTAGCACATCAGAATTCTTATGCTACAGAGAAACAACAACATCCTGAGTACAGACTTTCAAATTAGTACTACATGTAAACACACAGCATCACAAGTATGAAATTCAGGCTTTATTCAATAACTTTTACTTTTGTGCAGCTACAGACTGATTAGATGGAATTTTTTGTTTCCTTTGTTCCTATTCTTCATTTCCACTCCTTATCCAGATTCTTCTTTCTGTTAGTTTATCAGAATCCCAATCCTTTTGCCAATGCTCCATTGAGCGATGTAGAAATTGCAGCACTGACCCTCCACAATAATTTGCTTTTTGATGGATGAAGATCAGGATGAGACCTTCAAGAAGGGCTATTAACAGCACCAAAACAAGTACATTCCACCCACTAGATGACAAAGAGGCTTCTCAGAAGTTGAGTAAACTACTTTTGAAGTTAAGCTTCCAAAAATGGCCATAAATATGCCATGTAATTGTTACTCCTTTTGTCAAGTGTACACACACCTTTTCCCCAAAAAGTCTATCAGGTGCTTTTCAGAGAAAATACCGTCTCCTGAACTGTCTAGCAGTTACAACTGTTTAGCATTCAAAATCCAAAGCGACTAAGCACGTTATCATGGGAAAAATAACACAGACACTACTACGAGAATTGCAAGAAGGCCAATCAACAAGTTCAAAGAAGGGCCGATAGGATTTACTAGGAGACAGGTCAAAAAAAAAACCAAAACCAAAACTATAAGAAGAGTGTATTTTTGTGTTTCTCATCTTTCAACAACCAACCTTTTTCTTATCTATTTTCTGTAAGCATTTGTTGTAGACCACAGTCAAGGACTGTGTATCTTTGGGCTTATAAAGCAGTTCTTAAGACAAAAAAAAAAAAAAAAAAAAAAAGGAAAAACAAGAAAAAACCCCAACACCTATCCCCCAACATTAAGAACAGAACTACAAACTATTCCAGTGTAGAGGCAGAATAAGGCACCTAGTAAGAAACCAACTTGCCTAACCAAAGGAAGCATATAGAAAATAGCGGCTAAGTCAGATGAAGGAGACTGGTAGAAAGAAAAAACAAGCCCAGTATGTGAGGATAAAGTCAGAAAAAGTCAAGGCAAAATTGTAACAGAAAAGAATTCAGAAGATAACAAAGAAATGTTTAAATTACAGAGGAAACCTGAGGAGCATGGTACATTGCCATAGTATAAAAGCAGAAAGGAAGATGTTGAGAAGGTCAAGGAGCTAACACTCCTTGCATTTCAGCTGCAATCAAGCAGCTAACAAAATTAACTGTGGTGACAAAGGGGCAAAAATCTCATATGAGAATAGTGAAAGAATAAAGCAGAGAATATGTACATAAACAGAGCATCTTTAAATCATCTGCTGAAATTAAAGCCTCATGAAATTTATCCTAGTGTATAAAAACATGGGCTGAAGCAATCCCAAAGCCATTAGCAGTTTCCTTTGAAAACTCAGAGGACAAACGTGTTGAAGGACAAACACAAGGTACATTTTTCACAGAGGAACTAGCCAGAAAATCACAGACCAGACAGGTAGAGCTCAACTCCCAGAAAATCACAAAGAATCAAATTATTTACAAGAATCTGCAAAGACAATATGGAGATGGATAACACAAAGCCAAATTTCTCAAGAACAAAGTATGTCTAAGCAATCTAAGCTTCTTTTACAACAGGACAACAAGCCTTGTAAACAGAGAAAAAGCTGCAGATGTAATAATGCATCTTGGACACAGTAGGGCTTTTCATAGTGCCTTACGTGAAATTTTCAGAAACAAGTTTAGACAACATGATGTCCAAATGGAAGATGGGATTAGGCAAGAATAAAACTGATTGTAAAAATTAAGGTCAGACAGCAGTGAATCGCATTTAGTATTGACTAAATTCTGCAAAGGTGTGTCTATTTCTTCCAATACAAATCAGTATTTTTATGAACAACACCAGAACAGGAAATTTGTTTATAAAACCCATGGATGGCACCGAGTGACAGGAGCTGCCAGCACATTAGAGGGTGTGTGCAGAGTTTAGATATTCTTATGCTGAAGATATGAACCATCAGGATCTGACTCAGTAAAGACAAGTGAAAAATTGTTAGCAAAGAATATGAAACTATACAAATGCTAGATGCAGAAAATCTGCAAAGTTGGCAGCTCTGAGGACTATCATAGATACTGAATCACCAGAATCACATCGTTGCTTCTGTCTTTAGTGGTCCTCTGTATTCTTTTAACCTCACTTGCAGGGGATCCTGTCCTCACTTCACATTTAGAGGTACCACAGAGGTTTGTTTATGGTTTACATTAATTCATAACAAGTCAAAAGACTTTCAAAAAGACAGAAAATAAAGATTGGTTCTAGAGCATTTAATTTTCTCCTTATGTTCAAAGAAAACGTACCTTTCAATCAACACACTTTAAAAAAATCAGGGGAAAAAATTTATCATTGTTTAAAAAAACTCCTATTTTCTTTAAAAGCAAAGAACAGCAAGTTATTATGTACATAAGAAAAACACTGAAGATTTGCACATGAGAAAAGAGCAATCTATACCTCCTGTTTTCCAGATCAATTGAATACAGTGACTCCATAAATTGTATGCAATGATTTCATGTTGCTTCCTTCCTGGACGGTGATAACGGTCCTATTTGTTTTGCAGACTCCCAGAAAAATTACACTATTTGCATATTTTAATTAATAATGGCTGGCAGAACATGAAGCAATAAACACCTCCTAGGCATGCAATAAACTTTGAGGTTTATTTACAAATTATTACTGTGGAGATCATTTAATATTGCATTACTTAATCTCAAACACTGTTAATTAAAACACCAGTCACTATCAACTGGGTACACTATAAGATAAACAATACTATAAGAAAAAATATAACCTTCCATCATCTGCATGAAAAATGCAGAAGAAAAGAAGAAAGTAAATTTTATTTTTAGAACATTTATTTTAAAGTCTAATAAGCAAATTTTAAACAGTTGCATTTGCATTGTTATTGACACCGATGTTTTGCAGATCTTCAGATTTGCTGACTTGGGAATATTTAAAATAACTTGCTCACCCCCAGCTTTTGTAATCCTCACACTGTATGCAACACTAACAAAATATTACTAAGAGAGTCATAAACGCATAACCTCTTAACCCTACTGCACCAAACAAAACATACCTTAAGTCCAAAACCCTTAATGTATTGATAAGACTACTCATGGAAGAAAAAGGTGGAGTGACAATTTACACTTGTTAAATATTTGAGGTTCGTTAATATTCCGTGTTACCTATGGCACACTGGCAATACCTTCAGCTATTGTTAAAATTCCACAAAAACCCCAAGATGACTAATTGGTAACTTTCTGTTTGCCTGGAAAAGTCAGCAAAAGATTTCGTATGCTTAAATACTCAGTTTATCAATGTTTAAAATGTCCTGGCCAGTTTTACACAGGGAATAAAAAAAGATGAAGACTGAAATATACTCCACACAATAAAGTCCTTTAATACAGATGGGCGTATTAATCCAGAATGAGGCAGTTGAACTTTCCCTATAAAGACAATGCATCTGCATTACAGACTCAGGACAAGAGACAGTCTTGGACTAATCCCCAAGAGATGAAGCCATGCATATTCGTGATTTAACAATTAAGTATTTTTCATAAACAGAAATTGTCTAGCTGAATTCAAGTCCTGCATAGCATAATGGTAACATAAGATAAATCTACACTGCAGTAACACTAAGCAGAAGACAACATTTTTCTATGCATT